TACAGCACCCGGGTGCCCCTACACCCTCTATGAACAGTAAATTCAAAACAAATTCAAAAAAGTCTGAAACTTTGGGACATCGAACATCATGAAACTTTTGATGATATCGCAAAGTTTTAGCAAAAATAACACTCGAAGAACACTCAAATAGAAAAACAAAATCATTGTTCAAAGTTTATGTACATTTTTGAGCAGTGATCTTGTTTTTTTTGTGAGGGCTCCACGAAGGTTATTTGTTGCTGAAACTTTGTAGGAACATCGAACCTTTGATAATCTTTGAACCCTGAACCTTTCAGATTTTTTTATTGTTTTTCATCTTTTTATGAATTTATTGTTCATGAAGGTGTAGGGCACCCGGGAGCTGTTAGACATTTCTCGGGGAGCATAGCGAGGACTGGAGACGGCGGCAAAACCTTAGCCATGAAAAGAGTCGTAGCCGGAGACGAGTCGGAGGTTTACGGTTTGGGTGCGGGGTGGTGCAGACTCGCCAAAGAAATCTGGTGCTCGAGGGTTTTGGAAGGATGGCCCGAGGTAGCGAATGCACAGCAGTAGGTGGCGGTGAGGGAGGACGGGGCGGAGAGGCCGGCATGGATCGCCATCAGTCACGGGTGGTGTGGGAATGTATCCGGTGCACCCGCACTTGGTGCTACCTGTGCACCGGATGCCATAAAAAAATTTAAAAAGTATGGAAAAAATTTAGCATGTTAACACAACAACAACGTATCATGACACAAAATTTGGTACAAAAATTTAAAATATTTTTTGACATACAAAAATGACAAATTTGACATCAATGTGATAATGGGCCAAATCTAAAGCTCAAATTATGTTATATACTATTCAGGGTTGAATTGTCATTTTTGTTTTTCGAGTTATGAATTTTGACTTGAAATTTTGTGAGAACCTACACTAATGTTGTGTGGGTGTGCTAATTTTTTCAGATTTTTTTTAAACACTTTAAAAGCACAATGTGAATTCTGTGCACCGGTAGCACCACAAGCTCCGATGCACGAGATGTTTTTCCAGAGTGGTGGAGGCACGCAGATCCGCTGGTAGTCGTGGCAGGTTCAGATCATTGGGGAGTAGCATATAGGAAATGTCATTTTCATACATTGCGATTGATACAAAGCGAGCGGTATAACCGAATGAGAATATACACTCAAATCGTCAACAAAATACTGAAGAAGCTGCATATTATGAAATGGCACACGCATGATGTACTTTCTTATCTTAAATCGACAAAACTTGTTCTTCATCACATCAAATTTTGAGTTAGCATCCTGAGAAAAGAGGTACCAATCACAACCACAGATTCAACGGATCGACCATTCACTATTTTTCACAAACATGAACACACGCCCTCAGTGAGGGTCACTACAAGTCTATCTAGCATAACTGAAGAAACCTTCCGGGTCTGGAATACAACAAATTTGGAACAACTGCAGATTATTACCACATACAAATTTGGAGCAACAGAAAAGACCACCAAAGACTTAGGCTGCGATTGGCATTCACTGGATTATACAACACTTCCATTTGCTCGGCCCGCTTATGTCTGAACCACTTCTGCTTACTTCTGTGGGTAAGTTTCCACACCAGATTATAAAACAAGCACGCTCCAGCAACCAAACCGCAAACTAAGCAGATCATTTCTGTTAATCGGCAATATCCGAGGCCAACATCAAACACACTCGTTAAGGTACGCTGGCACCACCTTGGGTTGAAGGTTACCGTCCAACCACTCTGACAAACTAAGGTTTGACATATTCGATTCGCTTCGCGGCTAATTGAGGTTTAACTGCTGGTTCCCTGCAGGGTATTTCATAGGCTGACTGGGACTGGCAACACGAGGATCACAACAGCAGCAACCTACCATACGGGATAATCCGGCAGATAACCATCAACTCTAACTGGGTGGTTCGTTCGGTCGAGGCGCGGGACATACCTATCCGTAACGGACCCTGCAGCAAAAGCCCTATCCTCTGCATTCATGCTGCTGCTTCGTGGATAATCTGACCTCACACCATGATCACCGAAACGCCCACCACGGAATGTGGTTTCTTCGCCCATGCCGGCATCTGTTCCAGGACCATATGCACCAGGAGATTCCCCTCGGAGAGAGTACGTATTAACGGGAGCAATGCCTTCTGCTAGCACCATATTCAGTGGTTGACCGGTGTACTCCTCGACATTGGGCACATCGTGGTGAAGGGGAACACTTCTCCTTTCCATTTCGTAGTCTGCAGGGCCTGATCCTCGTGGGTTCATATAGGGGCCAAGGATAGAGTACGTATTAACGGAAGCAATGCCTTCTGGTAGCACCATATTCAGTGGTCGACCAGTGTACTCCTCGACATTGGGCACATCGTGGTGAAGGGGAACACTTCTCCTTTCCATTTCGTAGTCTGCAGGGCCTGATCCTCGTGGGTTCATATAGGGGCCACGGCTTCCACTAGCAGCATGTTCAGATCTCTGATATGGAGGGGAACCATGCCTTCTGCTAGCACCATATTCAGTGGTCGGATGTGAAGGGGGACTGAGACTAGTACCAAAATTACCAGAAGGAAGTGCTGACTGCTGGGGACTCAACCTCCTTCCGCCAATATCACCATCACTGGAATGATCCTCACGATGACTCGACCTCCTCCTATCACCATCACTGGAATGATCCTCATGATGGCTCGACCTCCTCCTACCACCATCACTGGAATGATCCTCATGATGACTCGACCTCCTCCTACCACCATCACTGGAATGATCCTCACGATGACTCGACCTCCTCCTACCACCATCACTGGAATGATCCTCACGATGACTCGACCTCCTCCTAGCACCATCACTAGAGTGATCCTCACGACGACTCGACCTCCTTCGACCAGTATCAACATCACGGCGTTTGGAATAATCATCACGACATTTGAAATAATCATCGTGTCGATGTTGCTCATATCTGTGTTGGTTGTTGCTTCTATGATGACTGTTACGATACTCCGTCCTTCGCCCTTCTGGAGAATGTCTCCTTGATCTATTTTGAGAATTTCTTCTCCTCGAGGGTGACCCTCCCCTATAAGAATTTTCTCTCATATTATTTCTCCACTCTTCTCTACTTGATCCTCTTCCCTCTCTGGATTTGTATTCGGAAGTCATTGAAGATCTCTGATCATCATTACACCGAGGATGATTTTTTGATGAGGAACAAGAACTTTGACGAGCATCTGTTTTTTTGTGATTATGAAGACGCTGAGGACTTTGATGAGCATCTCTTCCAGTTTCCATGTGAAACTTCTTATTGTTCCTTTCCAAGTCCAACATGTTGCCATCAGTTGCCTGTTCCTCCTGTCTCTGTCTCTTTCCTGACTTGTCACTTGAAGTATCAATTCCTGTTGCTTTGTTATTATCATTGTAGTGAGGACTCTTCAGCTCCTGCTGGCAAGTATGGCTTCCATCAACTTCTCGGTCATCATCAGATCTGAAGGTAAACCGCCCGTCAGGTAATCCAAATTTATTACTGTTGTTCCCAAGAGTCTTCTCCTTTTCCCCATATGTATTTTCTCTACTACGAGTTTCTCTCTCTTCTCCAGATTTGGTGTTGTTTTCATCCTCTTCAGCCTGTTCCTCCACAATAAGCTTTTCTAGCTCATCACTGTGTGCTTGATTTAAACGGATGGTCTCTTTCTCGAGGACACCTCTCCCTTTTGGAATCTTATCTTCCCTTAAGTTATTCATATCTACTGTTTGGATCTGGTCGGCTTCTTCTCGACATACCTTGTTTGACAGCTCCGCAGTTCCTGTTGAACCTTGATTGGTGTTCATATTCCTTTTACCAGTCACTTCTGTTTTCTTAGCAAGATTTCTTGTCCTATAAATTTTTGGAACGGGAGTTAACTTTATCTGGTCGGCTTCTTCTCGACATACCTTGATTGACAGCTCCGCAGTTCCAGTTGAACCTTGATCAGTGTTCATTTTCCTTTTACCAGTCACTTTTGTTTTCTTAGCAAGATTTCTTGTCCTATAAATTTTTGGAATGGGAGTTAACTTTATCTGGTCGGCTTCTTCTCGACATACCTTGTTTGACAGCTCCGCAGTTCCAGTTGAACCTTGATCAGTGTTCATTTTCCTTTTACCAGTCACTTCTGTTTTCTTCTTAGCAAGATTTCTTGTTCTATAAATTTTTGGAACGGGAGTTGACTTTATTTGGTCAATGCAATGTGTTCCAACAGTATCCATTTCTGTACTAGATGGTAACTTTATATGGTCTCTGCTAGGTGCTCCAAGCTCAGCTTCTAGTTTATGGCTTCTGCAAGATTTCAACAGAAGTTAGTTGCTCTGAGAAGGAAGTACAGAGAAACTTTGAGAAACAAACGAGTAAGAACTAACATACCCACAGTAAATCATAATTCTATCACCCAGGTGCCAAGCGCGTACACTTGTGCCACGCTTTCTCTCAAAGGAAATGCTTCTGTGGTAAATCAATAAATGTAATGAGAACGAGACAATCACATAAGCTAAAAGCAAATACATCTGGATAACAGAATACCTTGGGAAACATTTTTTGTGATATGACACTGGACAGCGTCTGCAGGCCGCAAGCCAAAGTTCTGGTTGAGTACTGTCTTCCATCGTTCTACATTCTGAGCACCAATGTGCAGGACATGTAAATGACATCCCAGCAGCAATCCTCCTCTCCAATTCGCCAGCTCCATCAGTATCATCAGGCTCAAGTAATTTGGCAATACAACCGGGGTGGTAGAAGTGCCCACAAGATGCTTTGTAGCATTGGAACACCTAAATGAATGCACACTTTAAAATGGAAGAACTAGAATCACGAAGATATTAATATTAAAAAGGGACAGAGACGGTTAGAGGGCACTTCGAATCATATCTAAACATACTTAAGGATCATAGCCACGAGCATCAATCACATGCACGAAATATCAACAGGCCTCAGTTGCCCACAACTCAAAATACATGTGAATGAAGACATCAAGGAACTGGATTTAAATGTTTCACTTAGTAAGACACAGGATGAACACAAGCAAGTTTAGAGTATGATGATGCATGAAAGGTGCTACATAAATGGGAAAATCAGCAACAAGCATACTCATTGGAGGAAGTGAGAATTATCATTGAATGAGAACCGCAAAACTACAAAGGCCACCATGATCTCAACAAACCACATGCCACATTCTTGTAAGAAAGATACAACAAGTTACCTTAGCATTTGGCCCATCAGATGGCTCAAGATCTCCACAACTGAAACATTGGTGTTGCTTATATTCACAGTTCTTGCATAGATAATGATCAATTTCCTGTAAATATGCAAAACAAAAAAATCACAAATTTGAGCCAGGAAAATTATAATGCTGCTGGACCAGTCAATGAGAACTTCGTAACTACCTGTAGTTGTGCAGAAGTTAAACCAAGAGTTTCACAATTAGATTCCCTTCCATCTTTTCCTCTGGGATGGAAGGACCTTTTACATTGTCCTTCACAGCTACATAAAATAGAAGACAGGATCAAATTATTAACTCAATAATAAATCTACCTATGTGCCAGAAGTTTATAACTGGCCCGAAATGGATTCTCCGTGACATAGTTGCCATGTTTCCGGTACGGTGGGAACGAGGAACGGGAACGGGGGACGAGAGTCGGGGGCTGGAAAAAATAGGGTACAGTGAGGGTATACATCTCTAGAATGATTTTTCTAAAGCGGAAACGCGATCCAATCAATTCCGGTACGATGAATCCGGTACGGTACCATGGAACGAGGAACGTGAATCTTTACAGATGCGGGGAGCAACTGGCTGGGAGGGACCTAGTACTTATACATGGAACTGTCTGGGCTGGGAGCAACTGGCTGCATCGTCGATTCATGAAGACTAAAATACATCATCTCCTTCCCAATGGAAAATTTATTAGCAGCCTTGGAGTAATTGGAGAGCAGAACGAGGAGTTATTTAGGGGAGTGGAAAAGAACGGGACAGAGAGTAAAACGAGGAGTTCGTGATTGATATGGCTGACCTTTTGCTTACTCGATCGATTCAAGAACCAAGACTGTCGAGTCGCCGAACCTGAATCGACGATCCGGCTGCTGAAACGCCGAATCCGCATCAAATCTTACCGAATCGACCCTCGTTCCCGAATCTGATTCCGGGTCGATGAATCCGGATCAAGGGACGGCCCACCGTTCCCTGTTTCCGGCTACTATGTCCGTGAAAATACTGGAAAATGTCTTATTTGTTCAATTTGCTGGACTTTTGGCAAATCCCCAAAACACAGCAGGTTGAATTCCAGTAAGTAGGCTTTTTTTCCTTTTCCTTTCTCTTTCATGTTAATCTCAACTTTTTAACCTCCCCCAACCATGCAAGCAACATTAGTTCTTGAATTCTATTGAAATAGTTTCCAAAACAAGTTTAAAAAAAGGTTGGTATTACAAATGCCGGTACCTACCACTACCAGGACATCTGGGAAGCTGGTTACAACAGTAGTAACCGGCATGAAACACAAATTGCTCCAAAGATACCATAGCACAGAGGTTGTTCTTGAAATCATCAGATGATCAAAGCAAAGAATGAAGGCTAAACCATGAGGGTAAGCATATGATCTATTGTGAAATGTCAACAAATAGAAATTGATAGCCCTCAAGCTATCAGTGGGCAGTTTTCTTCAAGGAAAACAGTAGAGCAATTTACGTTTACAATCGCCAACAGAAATGATATCTTCTAGTGTCTTTAACATGACATCTCAGAGATCAGTATACATAACATTTCCCTTGCGTCCACATGAAATCTTGTCCTATGAATCTGTAGCTCACTCACTCCCTATAGCATTATTTATTTTGGACGAAGTGCCAGAATCATCCCATATGCATAGCCCGGCTGAACAACATGTCTTCAAGACTTTTGAACTAGCCAGATAAAACAATGT